CATGTTTCAAATAATCCAATAACATTCTTAAAATCATCATCTTTGAAAATAATATCGAAACATTGTGCAACATCTTGAAATAAGAGTTCTGTTTTATATGAATGAATTTCTTCTATGGATGTGTAAGCATGTGTAAAAAATGTTTTGAGTTTAACAAAATCAATGACAGACTCAGTACTAATAAGGGTTTCATCCCAATCATTCACTGCTTCAAGAAGATTATCAGCATCAGTTGTAGTAAGATTATCTAAAAAGTGGATCAATTCTTTTGATACATTTAATTCTGCACATAAATTAAGTATATTTGTTGAATAAACATTTTCGATCGTTATTATATAACGTTGATACTTATCGTAACATTCACTACTGATTGTTTTATTATTGATTTCAATTAAGTCGAAAAAAATTTTCTTCAAATCAGTATTTGAAGAAATATGAAATCGTTCGTGCAAATCATTAAAACCAAATGATACATCATGCAAATACTTTCGATTTTTCCAGAATTTAAATATGATATGTAAATACGGTAAAACATCAGCTTGAAGAAATTCTTTAAGAATTTTCATATCAGTTTCAACTGATCCAATATCAGGAAAAATATTGAGCAATTGTTCTATAGGTAATTCTTTCCAATTGGCGCATAGGTTGTCCAATTCATTAATAAATTCATTGAACAAATTATTTGCATTGGTAAATATTTCTGCACAAGTAGCTTTTGTATTGATTTCTGGTTTATTTTGTACATTCTCAGTAATGGTGGTTGTTCGCTGATCATTGAGTGAATTAGATTCTTTTTTCGAGGCACGTTTACGTATTTTGTTCTGAGTACTTGTGTGTTCTAGAATAAATATGATTGAATGATATTACAGTTCTCGAAAATTTTATTTATTTTTTGGTATTTGAATATTCGTTTTTATTTTCACTATAGAATTGAGCATTGTACAACATGGGTAATGCTTCATTCAATGTACAAAACCTTGCATCCCTAATGATAATATTTTCTATTGAGAAAAATGCATATATCTTCGTAAAATATTTAGAAAAAAATCCTTTATCAAAAGAATGAGTCATATTTATATAATTGACAAGCATTTTTGAGAAAAATCTCAATGTCTACTGTTATCTACGCCGTAGGGTGTGAATGCAGATCAACAGAGGAAACACACCCATACAATTTCGCCTAGTTAACGTCAAGCTGTGAAAAAATAACCCTTTTTTATATTATCTTGAACTAAAGATCTAAAGTCGCTCGATCTAAGGCGTCAGTTTGAATCAAAATTTCATTCAATCTAAAGTTGGGTTTTTTATTTATTAATTTTTTTGAATATTTTATGAAAATGATATTATCTTATATAAAATTGGGCGAAAAAGATTTTTCGATGTCTCCCTTTGGATTGGTGAAGCCACAGATTGCTAGCTATAATCATTCTTGAAATATCCATCTTTTACCTATCCTTACTTATCTCTGACGTCAACACTAGTTCTTAGATAAATAAGAAATAAATCAAAGTTTTTACTAGACATATATCTTTTCATATTGATAAATACTCTTATTTAATGAATCTCATCAAACTAGATAGATACGATAAATTATTCTACAGGAAACGAGTCTCTATCTATCTCAAGATATAACTAACGTAAGTTTGTTTTGCAATACTGTGAGTCATTTCTGACGACATGCTTTATTACATATGTATCCGTCGCAACCGATACATATTACTATTGAAGGGAGTTCTTTAACTGATTAAAGATTTTTAACTTGAGACTATGTACATTACAAAGGTTCTAATCAGTTATGAATACCACGAGAAGAATTCAGATTGATTGTATATTGTTGTAAAAATCCTGCATTATTAAGTTATTTTTTATATCAATGTGACAATCTTTGTAACGAAAGATTAGGGAAATTGATTTAAGAATTTCATCTTGAAAATATTTAAAGATTCATGCATGACAAAGAATAGTTTATTGTGAAGTTTGAGAGAGAAATGTCGAGAAGATTTAAAATTTTCACAATAAACTATTATGGTTAAGATCTATTTCTATGCATTTTCGATTTAAAATTTAAAAATCAGTTTAGATTTTATTGTTGGTCGAAACCATGACATTGGCTTGACAAATATCATAAAACTCCAGTACCTTGAAAGTAGAATACGAAGGATTTGGAATCTTCCGAGCGTATTCCTAACTCGTTAGATGTTATATAATGTGCATAGTCGAGACTAAAAAGTGATTTATCAGTGGAAAATACCTATATTAAGACAAACATAAACTACATTCGCTACTCCTAATAAAACACTTCGTAGATATAAATTTTTTTTTCTCAATCTAAAGATTAATCATAAGAAAAAAAGAATCTCTAAATATTTCATAAATTTTTCTATTCAATTAAGGCTTACAAACGTATATATTGAGAGGCATTCATTATGTGCAATTTTAGATAAGCAGAATATGAAAATTTTTTTTATATTTCAAAAACATTTCGCCGTTGGATATGAAGATGAAATCTATCATATTCTAGTTACCTTCTGTTTATAAATATAATAATAGTTATATGTTACTAAATTTCTATATAATCGCTGTTTTTTTTTGGCATTTTATGAAAAGAGTATCGTCAAAGTTTCAATGCAAATCTACTAAAGCTCAGTTTGATATTTCGAGATAACTACCAAGCTGACAAAAAAAGATACGTAAGAAAATCCGATTAGATTTTCATATAGTCACTTGAAAGCAAAATTTTCGCAGGAGTTTTTTAAATTTCAAACAAGTATGCTCATCTTATGTATGAAATAAAAAATTTTAGATTCTTGATTCCGTGAAGAACATATCTTGCTTATTGTAACTAATAAATTCGTAAGTTATGAGAA